ACAAGGAGAATTTCCCCAGAGGGAGTCTCTATAACCAGAAAAGTTTTTTGGGGTTTTTTTGTTTGTTTTTTTACACAAATGTTAAACAAATACTAAACTAACTACACTAACTAACAAGACGCTCCCAAACTACCATGGTAGACAAGAAGCGGACACACTAGCTCCGTCTCCAGATCAGGTGGTTGAGAAGGAACTGAGGGGGTGGTTTGCTTGCGCAGTCTGATATAGCCTTGGTACAGAGCACAAGAATATCAACAGCACATGTGTGGGCTGAATGGACACTGCTAATGAAAATCTCCTATTGAGGGTGTGTAGCGCGCATGCTCACCAAGAGTAGAGCACCCATAGGGACACTACTTGAAGAAGATCATATCTTTCCAGTATGTGTAGTGAAAAGGAAACATTTGAGAAAAATGGAGGAGAAACTGAAACAAAGATCACTTAATACAACATTCTTGTAATCTATGGCACATACTTAGTCCTGCTTTCATCTCAATTTATAGCATCCATGTGAAGCGCTTAAGTAGTACTTAATTAATAACACATGTTAAAAAACAAAACAGAGAGAAAAAGGGTCAGAAAGAAAAACAGGAAAAATGTTATTTTATACTTACTTGCAGAATCTATAAATTTTGGGTAGGCATCGTATGTGATAAGCGGAATTGGCAAATCCCTGAAGTACAATTTAAGTGCACCAGTGATAATATTGATATCTTCATACATATTCACAGAAATATCTGCTTTTTCCCCATCTGTGTATAGAAAGCAGCTGACATTAATGTTTAAAAAATATAAATAGATCTAGACTAATATTCAATGGAAAAATCTATACTGTTTAGCAATTATTAAGATCAGCACAGCCACAGATTCTGGAGTATGTAAACTAACCAATAAAAACTGTTATTTGACTGTGAATTTCACTTTTTCAGGATAAAGCCTAATGCCTTTTGTACAGAGAGCAGTCCTTTTTTCAATCTCAGGTTAAAAAAACGTTATGCAGAAACCCATGTGACTGTTTTAATGGTGACGGTCTGTGTTGTAAAAATGTGTTGCAGATCAACTATATTTGAACATATCACTTTGCCAAAAACACATTTGTCAGCACTGAATGGGAAATGAGGAACGTTTGCAAAAAGGAAAATGTTTTTAGTACTTAGTCGCTAGGACAGGCCTGTGCTCACCCTCTCAGAGCAGTAGTGCTATTTATTCTTGAGTGTAGTGGGCACTGGGTAAGGGCCTGAATTTGTTCAGCACCTCAAGCCCAGCTAGGACCACATAGAAGGCAGGTATTACTTGAGCTCTCTTTGTGTAGCCCCAGTAGCCTGGAGAGGCAAAGAGGGATGGAATTTTTGGCTCAGTAAAAAAAAACATATGGGGAGGGAGCACCTCCCCGCCCCCGATTGCTACTGTGGGGTACTGAGGGTGGGAACTCCTTACTTCTCTCATTGCCTTTGGTGGAAGAGGATGTTTAGCCCAGGCGTTATTATTTTGGAGCTATCATCCAGGGAAAGGGCTTCAATTTGCACTGCTCCTTTAAGGTTCTTCTCCAGCTGACTCATGGTCCCACTGAGAGAGGAGCTTGGGGGTTCCCTAGTAAATCAGGGCAATAACTGAGAACGTTCAGTACTTTCCTACCCAATGACATCATTGCAAAGAGCCTAACTGTCATAGTCAGGCACTGTGGAGACACAAACTCTGCCGAAGGGAAAAGGGCAGCTTTTGGCAACCCAGGCCAAAATGGGATTTGTGTGTCTTTCCAATGGGAGGGTACCCCTCCGCTCAGCATAATGACCAGCCTCTGCATCTGCAGAGCCCAACAGGCAGATGGAGCCTACGCTGAGGAACCCCTGGGCTGAACAGAACCCTTCACAATGTGCCGGCAAAAAAGTTGCAGCAGATACTAAAGCAGATACCTCTGTCAAATGCCATTTTGACGTCTTCAATTAGGTCACTAAAGCCTGAAACTCTGTATAGTCCTTCAGAATTAAGACCTGTTAGGAGAGAACATTTTCACTTGATTAAAATTAGTATTAACTTTGCACCTCCCTTAAAACTGGCTTGTCCCTGGCCAGGTTCTTCACTTAAGGCAATGAGGCAACAAGGTTAGTTAGGTTTTAAAAGCTTTACCAGGTTTTTCATTTGGAATACAATTTCACCCCCATCCCTTTAACCCTGACCCTTGCATCAACCGCATTGTTCGGCTCAGCTCCCAATCATTTTGTGTAATCACGTTTATGATAATGATTCCCGGGGGTGAAAAAACAGATTAGCCCAATTACAAGCTAATTCTTTTTAATCAGCTAATTGAGATTAACATATTAGATGTACAGTAAATATTTTAGAAGCAAACCATATATTCTAGTAAAGAATATTAAATGTGGGCTGGGAGAACAAGGAAGATGAAATATGTAAATACCGACTAGTCTAGTTATTACTGTGTTAATCTTTCTGATTAAAATACCATGGGAAGTATAAAGAAGAGGAAGATGCACATGTACATCAATAAGATAGGAGATCATCCAAGAGTGGAGTTTAGCAAGCATGTAGTTATGTCAAAACAGTACTATATACTGTGCATCATAAAACACGCATTGCATCTGTCCATCTCTTATGTATTAATTAGAGAAGTCCTTGTAAGAAATTAAGTAATTTCAGCAGAGCTTTTAAAAAAAATCACAGATATTTGTGAACCAACAAATAACACCAAGTATGATATGAACTGTGTAGGATAATTGGCAGTCATAAAATGCCCCATTTGAAACTGTTTTGAGCAATCATGAATTCAGCGAAAACCCAAATGACCCAGATCAATCTAAAGGGATTATCATTAAAGCAACCAAAGTCCATTAACGATGTCTTACCTCTAGATTCAATTTCTCTAATACACATGTCTACTACCATTGGCCTTTTAGTGATGTGTGCTTTTACTAGCGTTGTAAGGTCACAGCTGTACACTTTTTTGACATGCTTCAGATCTGGCTTGCAGTCATTTGGGACCATCTTGGAACACTGCTTGTGAACATTTAAACCACAATCTGGGAGAAAAAATGAAAAGACAATTAACCCAATGTTGGGTGAAAATGTGCTGTAATGTTAATATAATAAAGTATGTATTACTTCTACAGGGTCTGATCCCGCAGACCTCATTCCTGTAAGGACCGCTCATGTGAGTAAGCTGAAAAGGACTGGTGCAGATTTTAAAGAACACTTACTAGCTGAATACATTCCATTCTAAGATGCAAAACCAGATGTTTCCTCTACTACAGGATTTAACAGAAATCAACCAATAGAAAATCAAATCGTCAAAGTCTATAATTCTCCATCAAATCGCATAGGTTTTTACAGTAATTTCAACAGAACCCTATTAGTTTAATCCCCATTACATTCTGTAGGACTTTTCCATAGGGGAAGAGATCTATTACTCTGTAATGTTTTTCTCTTCTTATACTTTATATGTGACTATTTCATGATCTAATCCCTTCCCCTGGTCTTTATATTTATTTTAGGCTCAGTTTACACTACAGTATATGTATAGCTACATACTGCAGTCAAAAGCACACTGCATCCACACTGTGGTGTGTAGCTACACGGGGCAGTGAAAGGCTCTGGCAAATGGGAGGCAGCAGGCAAAGGCTTCAGCTGTTTCCCCACTTCCAGAGCCTTTCTTTCCCTGCTGCTTACTCCCTTCCAGAGGAAGGGCTTCAGCAGTGGGGGAGCTGGCAGAGCCTTTCACAGCTGCTGGAGCCTTTCCTTGTAGCAGGGAATGGCCCCAGCAGTGGGGAGTTGCTGGAGTCTTCCCCTGCATAGGAGAAAGGCTCCAGCTGTTGGGATCTGGCAGCCTTTCCCCACTTCCCTCCCGCTCCCGGTCCACTGTTGGAGTCTTTCCCTGCAAAGGAGAAGGGGACCAGCAGTGAGAGGTAACAGGACACTACACAGCTAAAAATAGGGACGGCACGGCTTGGGCCAGTAGAGGATGTCTAGGTACATACTCTGGGTTTATACCCACATCCTTCAGGTGTGTCTTGACTGGCTTCAACCATGTTTCACTGTCTATGCTGCTGTTTATACTTGTACTATGAGGGCTATGCATGTATGTACACTACACACTGCCAAAAGAGTCCTGCAGCGTAGACACACCCTTAGGGTTAGTTTGAGACATTTACTCTTAACCCTGAGCAGGGTAGGGGAGGAGGTATTACTTCCAATGTTGTTTCATAGACTGGGTTTTTGAAAGAGAAAGCCCAGAAAGCTGGCAATTCCAAATAATTCTATTTAAATTAAAATGAATTTGGGAAGAACTTATTTAAAGAACAGTTCCACAGTTTCATTATAAACATTTTACTAATGAAGGTTTGGTTCATTTTAGAGTACAATTCAATTGAAATCAGATATGCAGAAAAAAACATTCATTCTGTACAAAAATGGGCCAGGCATATCTATCAACACTAATGCTCCATCTGTAGGAAAAAAGTAGGGAAACCAGCAATAATACTACAAGAAAGCATAGTGAAGACAAGCTGAGCAATGCAGTTCCTTCTAAGTTAACGGAATGTTCATATCCATGATTTGAGTCTGTAAGTCTTGTGCGATGATGTATGAACAGCATTTTGCCTTGTCTAAAGCCCAACCTAGTTCCTTCTGACTTCACTGGGAGTTTTATCAGGTCTCTGCTGTCTTGCAGTAGGGACCCTTGTCTTGCAAGATGCTGAGTATCTTGAACTTTCATTGGTAATTGGCAATGCAAATGTCACCCAGAGTCCAATCCTACAAAGTGACATGCTGAATTGCCATAGCATAACAGCACAGAGCCTACAGTGTTCACTCGCTTAGGCCTTGATCCAGCAAAGATTTCCAGTGTGCTTAACTTTCCTACCATGAGTAGTCCCATTGATTTCAATTATTCATTGATCTCAAGGGGACTACTCATAGGATTAAAGTTAAACACATGTCGGAGTTTGGAGGTTCGGGGCCTTGGTGAAGATTTACAGTATCCCTTCCCTTCCCTCTGCCCTCCTCCCCCCCAATATCTAGTGTCTATAGAGGAGTCACCTTTGTATCTGATTATCATTGGTTTTGTTGATATTTTAATTTACAGTAAATAGTCCACAGATGATGCCGTTCTCCTTTATACAACGGCAAAAGCCAGTGTTTGTATCTTAGTTTAATTCCAGCTCAGTCATTCATGTGCTATTACAAAAAGCACTTTGTTTTCTTAATAGGTTTGTAAAGCTAAAGAGTTTTGTCACTTAGAATTTATTGTAAAGTGCTCAATCTTTTGGTAACAATAAAAGTTCAACATGTCACATTCAATCAGTCAAAATTTATGAACCCTGTTCCAGACAAAATGACTGCTTACAATTCTATTTCACTCTTTAAGTGTAAGAATAGCTCCCTTCCATAAAGAAAAGAAAGTGGTCTTGTGATTAAGGCACAGGATGAGGACCCAGGAATTCTGGGTTCTGCACCTACTAATGCCACAAACTTCCTGTGTGATCCTAGGCAAATACTGTAGAGGACAGCCTCCTCCTACACAGAAGACCCTGACCTAGCAGAACTGGCCCAGTTGGGCAGGACCAGAAGACTTGTGCAACGAGGATGGCCCTCTGCACACTGTGGAGTTCTGTTCTGTTGGCTTCCCTCCACCCCAACACATGGTGGGGGTTGGAAAAATTATTGGGGGTGAGGACAGATCCACCAGCCACTCTCTTTCCTGGAGGGGGAATAGAACCTCTACAGAAAGTGTTGTGCTTCTGAGACTTCATAGTGTTTGTGGCACAGCACCACTCTATGGCAGGAGGTTAGGGGCCTAACCCTTCCTTATTCAGGCTGTGAAGAACTCCAGAGCACAGCCTGGTCCCTTGCATGCTTTTAGGATTTGGTCCTTAGTCATCCTGTGTTTCAGTTTCTCCCTCTGTAAAATGGAGGGACAAGGAATTTGGGCAGAGAGGGACAAGAGACTGACTGGACGAGGAGCTGTGAGGGAGGGTACTAGATTGTCTGGGCAAGAGTATTGGGACTGAGATGAGAAGTCTAAGGAGTGGAGACAGGAACTGGCTAGGTGAGGAGAATGGGACTGGGACAAGGAGACAGAGGTGAGGAAAAGACTGGGGCATGACAAGTTGGAGGGGATGGGGCACAAGAGATCAAGTCCCCATCATTAGTATTATGACAACAGTCTTAAATTACATGATTGCATACTGTTTTTTCCACTATCTCATTCAGTGCACATGATGGACCTGCTCTGAGGCTGAATCATCAGGGTTGTCTAGTGAAGGCTGTTGTCAGTAGGACCTCAGCTTCATTTGTTGCAGAAGATGGAAGGTGGGTAGTGAGGGAGGGAGGGAGGGGATTGCAGAAAGAGAAAGGACAGTCTTCTGGTTAAGGCAGTTGAATGCTGCCATGAAGAACTGGATTCTATCCCTGCCTCTGCCACAGAGTTCCTGTGTGGTGGTAGGCAAGTGACTTCAATTAGACTTTTGACAGGTGGTCACTAGTTGCATGCTCCTTATCTGATGGTTGCCCAACTTGAGAGTCTGGGCTGATTTCCAGAAGTGCTGCGCTCTCATATGCAACTGAAATCAGTTGCATCTGAGAGAAACTGGGAATTTTGCTTTGAACATATGAAGTGCTATATAATGCTAAATACTCTGAAAAAATCAGATCCTAGGTGTTTCAAATTGGGTACCCAAAATTAGTGAACACTTTTACCTTAATCTCTTTGTGCCTCGGCTCCTTATCTGTACAGTGGGGATAATACCACTGCCTCATCTCACAGGGGTATTTAAAAATAAATTCATTAAATGTTTGTGAAGCATTCAGATACTATAGTGAAAATCACAGTGGAAAAGCCCATGAAGAAATTAAAAATTCAGTCTACAGAGCAGACATGAATAATGTGTAGTAAGGCAGGCCTGGAGCCACAACACTGAGCAACTAGGAGAAAACAAAATACAGAACAGCCATTTGTTAAGTGAGTACCATCCATTCTGTGCCCAGAATGAGGCATGGGTCTTGGGGAAAAAACAGTATGTGATTATGTAATTAAAGACTATGATAATGCAAACACACAAGGGGGCTGAACTAAGAGTGCACGTGCAACCTTAATTCTGGCATTTCCTAACTTTTGAGTGATTGACTTTGCACTTCATAATGTTTTTAATACAGTTTTTGTATGCATAATTATCATATGTACTAAAATTGCTGCAAGAGCCACTCGATACAGCATACTGCAAGTAGTTTATCTTTAAAGATTTAAATATTAAACAGGGAGCAAAACATTTTGCAGAAACAATGTTTAGATTCTTAAAGGTCTGTCTCAACTGATGTGTGAGCAAGTTGAAAGGCTAACCCCCATTTATGGAATTGGATTGGTCTTGTGAGCACACATCTACCCACGCTGATGGGAGAAGAGATATCTTAGAGCTACAGTATTGTGAGAACAAGGATAATTAATTTTTAAGTATACAAGAATGAAAAACACGTATTTACAAATGTCCTATGCTTGAATTAAAACAATCTTTACATTTCCCATGGTCATCTTAAGGATATTTGCATACAGCAAAGTGCTATTTTATTAAAATGTTTAGCTTGCAGGGACCTTTTCAAGCTGAAATTCATATTTCTAAAAAACCAAATTTAATTACCTGTGTTACTGCTAATCCTTTTGGTGCCCACTTCAAAGCCCAATTAAGTCAATGAAAAGATTCCCATTGATTTGAAGGGGCTTTGGATCAGGTCTCATTAACACCAGAAACATTTTAAAAATCAACATTGCTTTTCCATCTTTATGCTCTTCATTTTTTACACTTCATTGGTTCTCATACACCAAACACTGCTACAAGCGTTATAAACACTCCTGAGGAATATATCATGCTTTAACAGAAGTTTATAAAAGGTAGAGCACATTTCTATTACCATTATTATTATGCTTTGCAGGCTTTTTTTATTAAAAAAATAACAAAAGCTACGTTTTTGGTCCTTAGCTGAGACTGAAGTCCTTTGACAAATCAAAATTAATATTTTTGTAAGGTTTAAA